CCTTCCCCAGGGCATCCCAGCCAGTGAGTGCTACGTCCTTTGCAAGTGGAGTTACTGGCCTACCCTTACCCCATGCACTCTTCCTGTCTGCACTGCCTGGGCCAAGGGGCAGAACACATTCTGCCCTTCTTCCCCAGGGAATTCCCAGGCTTGGATTTTTCTATAGGTTTGAGGGGGGTGGGGGTGGGGGTGGGGTTGGTGGGTGAGGGGAAAATGACAATAAAGAGATTGGATCCAAATATGGTCAGATGGAATGGTTTGCTTATTTGGCTGGTTTTATTTACATTGTTATTGTGCATGTATGGTGTGGGGTGGGATACATTTGCATGTCACACCATTTGTGGAGGTCAAAGACAACTTCATGGAGACAGGCTTTCGAAGGAAACACTTTACCCACTGAGCCTTCTCACTGTCTCTACTTCTATGATAAAACACTATGACCAAAAGCAAGTTGGGGGAAGAAAGGGTTAATTTTATCTTCTACTTCCAGGTAATAGTCCATCATTTGGGGAAGTCAGGGCAGGAACCTGGAGGCAGGAACTGATACACAGGCCATGGAGGATTGCTGCTTACAGGTTTGCTCCTCATGGTTTGCTCAGCCTGCTTTCTTACAGTGCCCACATTGGACTTGACCTTCCCACATCAACCTGCAAATCAAGAAAAGGCAGCATAGCCCAGTCTGATGGGGAAATTTTCTCATAATTAAGCAGCCAGCACACAGGCCTGTGGTTTTTCTCACAGTGGTATTTTAGCCTTCTGCCTATCAAAAAGCTGGTATGCTCAACCCTTCTGTTCTCCCATCTCCAGGAAACACTGTCTCCAGTGTCCAATACTGATCCATTTGCACCAGCACTCCTCTGCTAAAATGATTAAAGTTAGGTGTGATGGCACATGCCTATCATCCAAGCACTTAGGGAAGTGGAAGCAGAAATACCAGTTCATGACTGGTCAGGACTCCATGAGACCTTATTTTATCTCAAACAACAAAAAACAAAAGCCCACAAATGTATCTGCCATTTTTGGAGTACCTATGCAAACACTAGAATCTAAATCGCTTTAAGCAAGAAGTAGCTTTATTCCTTTCCTAATAGTATGTTTGTAGGAATTTTAAATTTTAAGCTTTTCCTTTTTTTGGTAAACTTAAGCCATCTGTTCTACCCTATTACTGCCGTTTTTGGGTTGTTAAAATGTTAAAATGACACTCAAGTCGCTGCTTTGACCTGGCTCCTTTTTCCGTTTTTGGAAATGCAGCCTTGATTCAGCTGCTGTTCTGGTCATTTCAGGGATGTTTCAGTACTAGTTGATTGTTCTTAAAGAACTAACTGTTACCTTCTTGGAAAGGCCTCACCTCAGGACACAAGACCATCATCTAAAAGGGTGGGGGCCTGGGTTCTTACTTCGTTTGCAACCCTGCCCTACTGGATTCCTTATTGAACGCTACCAGTTCTAGCCACCAGTCATACAGCAGCTTCTGCCTGGGTTTTGACTCCCAAGTTTTGGTAGAGGCCAGGTGCTGAAGGTGGGACAGTGCTCAGGCCCCCCTGGATATGGAAACCCCTAGAAAGTGGCTCACATCCCAGCAACACTTGTATGAGTGGGGCTTTTTAGGTTGTCTTTGTCATGTAGCCCATGCTGTGCTTGAAGTCCTGCAGTCAGCCTGAATGCTGGGATTACAGGAATGTGCCTCACTTTTGTTTCAGCTATACTCTTTTGCAGTATTGGCTATTTAGAGGGTGTTTGTTGAAGGGAGGATAGAGATTTCACAGGTGTTCTGCTAAATTCTTTTTTGTTTTTCAAGACAGGGTTTCTCTGTGACTCTGGAGGCTGTCCTGGAACTAGGTCTTGTAGACTAGGCTGGTCTTAAACTCACAGAGATCTGCCTGCCTCTGCCTCCCCAGTGCTAGGATTAAAGGTGTGCGCCACCACCATCTGGCTCTGCTAAATTCTATAAAAGGTATTGTTTATCCCCTACAGTCTCCTAGAAGTGGTGATAGATCATCCTGTTAACCTACTGGAAACTGACATATTTGTCCAAACTCATGTCACTTGAATTATGCAAATCTCCACTTGCAATTTGACTCTGAAGTACTGCTCCTGGATTTTGAGTCTCTTGGGCTTTCCTCTTCTGTACATTGCCAGTGTTCTTTGACTTCCTCTAATGCCCGTGCCTCTACCCTTTTCCTTTATGGAACCTAGCATATGGCATCACCATACTCTGCAGCAGCTCCACTGTACTATCTTCAGTGACCAGAGTCATCCTACCCTGTCCAGCCCCATTTGGTCTTTTTCTTCATGAATCCTAACCTGGACAATGGCCATCATTCCCTACCCTGCCAATTTAGTCCACATCTTCTACTCCTAATTTTTCCATAGTAGTCTGAACTTTAACTCAGATATGTTCAACTTCTTGACATTCTAACAAGAGGTTACCATCTATAAAGAACTATGTGATTAAGTTACATAAAGGGAAATAATCATGTTTTTAAAGTAAGCTTGTAATTTTGTTGTACCACATTCACAGCCATCTTTGACTGGCTGCTTGCTGGCCCTTTTTCATATTACTTTGATTTTTAAAAAGTTTCATGGTTACTATAACAAATATACAGTCTCTGAGGACAAAAGAGGGCATTGGGAACTGGAGTTAGATAGTTGTGCGCTGCCATGTGAGTACTGGGAATCAAACTTGAGTCTTTTCTAAACTACTGAGCCACCTTACCTTTTCAGCCCTAGACTCTACATTAATCTGGTCTCTTTCATATTATGCACCAGGGCTTTGCTGTTCTGCCTTCCTCCCATTTTTTGAGATGGGTCTGTCTTAAAATCAATCTGTCTTTATCTATTTAATCTATACCATCTATACCCAGGCTGGCTATGGGCTCTTGATGGTATTGCTTAGGTCTCCAAAGTATTGGAGGTTACAGGTATGTGCTATCACACTCAGTTCCCCAATGTTCACCAATATGAAGTTGAAAACTATCGTTTAAATCACTAGCAGATACCAACCAGTCATCAAAATTGCCCCATACCATCCCCTAAGGAGGCCCACCAAGAAAAGAATTGGACAGAACATACATAAACACACAAAAGTAATGGAGCACTAGTTACACAAGAGGCACTGATCCTTGCTTTATTCATGAAATAATAACCAACATTGGGAATTAGGGGCAGAGGTACAAAAGAATGAAAAAAAGAAAAAGAAAAAATTGCAGTCATAACAGTTGTGATCAACATGGCAGTGAGTGGTGGCAGGCAGTTCAGCCAGCGTATGGCACGTCTCTTGACCTACTTGGTCAAGGGGAAGTGCCCTCTACCATTTCACAGCCAAGTTACTTGGTAACACCTGGCCTTACTTGAACCAGGGTCACAGTAATTAAAAATAACATTGTCTTGGCTGAGTGGCTGTTCTTGGGATGTTTAGCAAGATTAACAGTCTGATGGCAGGAAAGTGAGGAGCATCATGTATGTCCTTATCCTGGTGGGTGCAAGTAAGGCAGATTATAGCACAGACCCACAAGGTGGACCCTCCTGTGCACCGATGGAGAATACCTCGCTAGCTCAGTCCTCAGAAGCAGAGCTGGAGGTAACAGCAAGACCACACACGCAGCAGCATCTCTTGGTTTCACAGCCACATTCAAGTTAGTTTAGTACAGAAAAGCATTTGAGGGGGGTCTTTTACTGACCTAGAACACAGGTTGGAGAAGCTTCCTTAGGTGCTGCTACTTAGACCCTAAGATTTCTCTGTACTACACAAGCTTTCTCAACAAACTAACATTAGTATGTCAGGTATAGGATATACTGGCCTGTAACAAGAATTCCAAAGACAGGGAACCTAGCACCTGGTAGTTCCCTTGAGTGACAACAGCTGAAGTTTCAGCTGAAGTCGGTCTCAACTGTTGTCACAGGAGGGAAATGAGGAATCGGCAGTGAGGTAGTAACAACCCTCACAAAAGGAAAGAAAACTTTCATTCTAAAAACAGGCTGATCTTCCAGCCACTCAAGTCATATCTGCTCTAGCCATGTAACTCAAGAGAAGTTGAAAGGGAAAATGGCTGCCCAGTTCCAGTATTTGCCAATACTCAGTTTCTGAGGACAGGGAGAACTTGCCAAAGTCCAGGAACCAAGTTGGTTGTTTTGTATTTTGCTAAATTCAACGAGCATTTTTATTATAGAAAAAAAAAACTGAAGGACAGATCAAATTGAAAGAATCAGTTATAATAACTTTAATTTATCTTGCACTTTACAGAAGTCTATGAACGATTTTAAAAAGCACCTCCTTACCCCATCACGTTTGACAGTTGTTAAAGTGGGCAATGAGTATGTCAACAGCTTGAGTGTCGGCATCTTGCAAGGGTTTCAGATCAATCACTTGCCAAAGAACTTGGCAGCTTTTCTATCTTGTGTTTCAACTCAGTGGTACGTCCACTCTGATGGTAACCTGTCCAGCCAAATCTCCACCACACATTTTGGAAAAATCAATGGTGATTAGCAAATTAGTTAGCTTTGGCACGGAGCTGTGCTCGCTTGCCCGTGACAGCCTGGAAGCCAGTTTTGATGCTGGCAACAGAGCATCGAGAATGACAAGTTTCACACTGTAAGAAATAGAGTCGGGTGTCCTTCTGTAGGATTGTGTCCGGTGATCGGCATGTGTGACAAGTGACGTATTCCTCTGCAAGAAAAACAACACAGCATTATCTGCTAGATACAGTAAGGCAGAGGCTCCTGCTTGCCCACAGAAATGCACCTGTCTCCAAGTAATAGCTCAGAGGACAGTTTACCCTAGCCAGGCAGGGAAGCCTAGCTAAACAGCTATTCTAGGGGTAAGAAAATGCAAACTAAGCTGTCTGCCATGTTTTTTGGCAGTATGATACAAGTTGAAAGGACTTCAAATGCTCCAATTAGGGAAGTTTGCCAGATGCCCATTCTTGGTGCTATCTATGGATAATCCACTTAAGCCTTAGGTGAGAACAGGCAAGGCATGCCAATTTTAAATGTTTTGATAACAAAAGAGGCTGAGGCAGGCCATGCCATAACCAGAGGCAGGTCTTTAGCCCCAGAATCAGTCAGCAGAGGCTGCATCATCTTGGCTTTCTGCCTCCTCCTCACTATCATTTTCTGTCTTTCCCTCCAGGGTTTCTTTATGTAGACCAGGCTGGCGTCAAACTCAGATCTCTTAAGTATTGGGACTAAATATGTGTGCTACCAGGTGCAGCCCCATTGCTTTCCCAGGTTCATTACAATTGGACCTCCTCAAAATACCAGTCTCAAGAGAACATTCAGAATGATACGATAAAATTCAATTATACACTTACTGATATATCTTCTCAAGACATTTTCTATTTGTTTCTGTTGGAATCTTCCTTTGATTACAAGCTGGTTATTACCATCTATAGAACCACTATGAAAGAAAACAAATAAACCCATTACACTTTGGTTCATTTTCCTGAAGGAGCCCAATTCCAGCACCTTCATACTTAATGAACTTAAAACATGTTCAATTGTGTAGGATAATTTCTGGGGTGTGTTTCTGGTTCTTCAAATTTTATTTCTATTTTTTAGCGACAGGAATTGGTGTGTCCTAGGCTGGCCTCTGCCTTCCAAGTGTTAACATTACTTGAGTGAGCTGCTATACTTGGCCTCAAATTTTTTTAAATATTTCTATCTTTTGCAAAGATTTTATTCTTAATTATGTGTGTGTTATCTGTATAGAGTTATGTATGTGCATGGGAGTGCTGGTATCTTCTCTTAACTGCTGAGCCATTTCTCCAGACACTCAAAATTATTGAGATTGGATTTCCTTGAGTAGTCATGGCTGTCCTGGAACTCACTCAGTATTCTCAAATTGGCCTCAGAGATCCACCTGCCTCTGCCTCCTGAGTGTTGTCACTATCAGGCTTCTCAAAATTTCTTACTTTAATGACGTACTCATACTTCTTTTTTTGGGGGGGAGGGGGCAGCTTCGAGACAGGATTTCTCTGTGTAGCTTTGCAGACTAGGCTGTCCTTGAACTCTCAGAGATCTACCTGCCTCTGCCTCCCAAGTGCTGGCATTAAAGGCGTGCGCCACCGCCGCCGCCACCACTACCACCACCTCCACCCAGCTGATTTACTCAGGTTTCTTAATATTTAGTCCAACTTTAGACTTGTAATTGACTTTATGTCCAAAGCAAACTGATCCCTTAACTGTGTAGGTTTGATTGCCTGTTCAACTTAAAAAAAAAAAAAGAAACTTATTGAATGCATACCAACTGCAAATATGAGGGAGGTATAAACATAAAAAAGTTGTACATTATTTTTAAAATTCTGAAGCCAAGCATGGTGGTGCATACCTGTAATCCTGGCATGTAGGAGGCAGAAACAGGAGGACTGCCACTGGTTTACTGGTTTAAGGCAAGCCTGAACTACATAGTGAGACCCTTTCTCAAAAATCAATATATAAATAAATAACCTAAGCCAGACACAGTGGTGTGAACCAATAATCCCAGCCATCAAGTAGCTCAGACAAGAGAGCACTACATGAGCCGAGCCTATGAGTTTAGAGCCTGGTTGGGTAACATAGTAAGACCCTATCACAAAATAACTTAAAATTAAAGCACTACAGTTTGATAGTCACATACAAAGGCACAGCTGAAAATATACTCAAATTGTGAGCTGTATGTCAAAAAACTGTTACCCAAAAAAGTAAAACTGAAATTCATGGTACAAACTGTCAGTGATAAACTCAATGATTAAAGCAGCTGACAAACACTTGGGAAAGTAAAGTTAGACATTGTTTGTTAAAAATGATAAATCAAGCAAAACAAAAAAAGATAAATCACAACGTAAAACAAAATTAAGTCTTACAGTTGAATTTATATTTGTTCCTATCTTAACATAAAGTGGATTTTTGCAGAAACTGATTTTCCTGAGGATTTACTATCACATACCATGAATTGTAATCCTTGATCCCTCCCTATCTAGGCTACCCTGACTCCAATGTAGGACATTTTTCACTGTCCATTAAGAAATGGGAATTTTGCCCAACTTTAAAATATTTAACCCACTGACCTTTTGTTCACCCTAGTCACAACCTGCTAGAATTACCACACCTCTACACCAAGTGCAGGTTATTCTGAGAAGTAAAGAAAGACTTGGCTAGCTTTTCTTATGCTTAAACAATGAGTATAATTAAAAACCATTACTGTAACAATCCTCTGATAATTAAGATGAATTTTTTTCCTGACACAAAAGTAGTTCTTCTGAAGTGTCAAATATTACTCTTTTTGCACACAGTTTCTTACCTTGTACCCAATTCTGCCAATAAAAATGCGAGGAGATGTTTGGGTTGACGATGTAATCTAAAAAGAAAATCAAATACTTAAAATCTTTCTTAGAAATCCTAAAACAAAGCAGAAACCATGCTGTTCATTATTTCACTGTGATTACTCAGTTATTAGGAGTCTCAGTGAATAGCTCACTTGTGCATAGAAATAAGTAGCACTGGCTATAATTTCAACACCCAAGAGACTGAAGCAGGACGATCAACCTTAATTTCAAACCCAGCCTAGGGCAGTGAGTGCCAGTTTCAAAAACAAACAGGCTGGAGAAACAGCTCAGTAGTTAAGAAAATTAGCTGGAAAAAAAAGAGAAAAAAAATTTGCTGTTCTTCCAGAAGATGAAGTAGGTTTGATTCCCAGCACACACAAGGCAGCTCATTCATCTATAACTTCAGATCCAGGGGAATCTGATTCCCTCTTCTGGCCTTGTAATCAACCATGCATGTTGTACACATATATACAGACAAAACACCTTTACACATTAAAAAAATAAAAACCAAAAAAATAATATATGCTACTTTGTAGTTTGGTACTCATAAACTATTTATTACATGCTATTTCTGTTTTTGTTTTTTTGAGACAGGGTTTCTCTGTGGCTTTGGAGGCTGTCCTGGAACTAGCTCTTGTAACCAGGCTGGTCTCAAGCTCACAGAGATCTGTCTGCCTCTGCCTCCCGAGTGCTGGGATTAAAGGCATAAGCCTAAATATCTAAAATCGTGAAAGCATAACTTTAAGATCATAGTTAAGCTATGATTATCTACCTAAGTGAATTTACATATAACCTTTCATTTTTGTACTGTATCTTTTCTAATTTCTAGTGAATATATACTATTGCTGCCATCAAAAAAGTAAAGTATGCTGAGTAATAAAAATGGATTACCTAGCCGGGCGTTGGTGGTGCACACCTTTAGTCCCAGCACTCGGGAGGCAGAGACAGGTGGATCTCTGTGAGTTTGAGACCAGCCTGGTCTACAAGAGCTAGTTCCAGGACAGCCTCCAAAGCCACAGAGAAACCCTGTCTTGAAAAACCAAAAGAAAAGAAAATGGATTACCTGTTCTGTAACAAGCAAGTATGATTTATGAAATTGAAAAACCAACAATAGGATAAAGTGGGTGGCTGGAGAAAACTTGCCAGAAAGGGCAGTAACCCCAGCCCAGGGTGCAATGGTGAATAAAAACTAAAAATCTCATCCACTGGGTCCTAACAATCCAGGAAGCTTCAATTCAGCTTAGAGTTCACTGCTTACTTGGCAGGACAACCCCTGGCTTGAGAATTATATCCAGTCTCTTCATTCCTGACTCTGCTTAGGAGCTACTCCATCCCCAACCCACCATGTGTGTTCAGGTGTTTTGCCTGCATATCATATTCCCTGGAACTAGAGTTATAGACAGCTGTGAGTTGCCATGTGGGTGCCAGAGTCATCTCTCCAGCCCCTAGGATCTACTCTCATTATTCAGTATTGACTTACCTTTAGATGCCAATATAAAATGAGCTCTGATAGGCAGACATGAACTGTGACTTCCCTCAATCTATGCCCTATGTACTTTTATGTACTTTTTCAACCTACAGAAAAAATGACCATAAAAAAGAAAATGTGGTATTCGAAATGAATGGTCTCCACTAGCTCACTTACAGTTTACAGATATCTGTAAAATTGACAAAAGAAGTTTTCTTGGTTCCTACTCGGACAACCTGTGGAGGTTTCATAACAAATTTCCTCTTCTCTCCAGCAACCATATCCGGATTCTTTTCTCTCATGATGTTGAACACTCGGTTCAGCAACTATAAGGAATGGGAATTCAATCACATCCTTAGTAATAGCAAGAGCATAAAACTTCTATTTGGGTCAATTTGCCTTAATAAAGCTATTGAAAGCAGCAGTTCATTACTTACTAAGATCTGGCCTTTATGGATGATGCTCAGTTACTCTACTGATTTTACAGGAAAGCATGTGACACAGGGGAAAAACTGAAGAAACCACAAATGAGCAAACTCCAGACTACCCTGACCTCAAAGTGGACACTTGTCACCAAGGTCCCACTGATTCCCAGAGGGCTCCATACTATAGTGACAGCCACACTCTGAGCAGGCTGCCCCATAAGTTGGTATCAGGAATTGCCATGCACTGGCCACATGGCCTACTATAATCTGGTTTATCTCCAATCTGTATCTCAGTGGCTCTTCCAATGCAGGGGGATCTATACCTACTTTTCTCTGAGCTCAAATGATAGCCAAAAAGAAAAAGAAAAAAAAAAAAAAGATTTTGTCTCACCTCCTCATATGTATAGTCTCTTTCTGAGCCTGCCCAAGCAGGCCCAGTCTGGTTACTGAATGAAATGCCATCGTCTTTTTTGCTGTCTTCATCTTCTAAAGCTAGAGATAACAAAGAGTACGAATGAGCAGTGGGCTTTGATCCAACAAGGGGGAGTTCAGAACTAGAGAATGAAAGCTACAGAAACTTCCCTTCCCTTTCAAAGTGATAGCTGCAGTAGCTTCAAGTACAAAGGGACCACACAGAGAAGCCACTTTCCTTTATAGACAAAAATATTACACTTCACACAAGATCTTTAATGAGACATCCATGATAACAGTGAAATGTTTCTTGACAAATACAAGACAAGACATTAAGTACTTAAAGGAGAGTCCAATTGTTTTCAAACCTTTGAGAAAATTGTATATATAAAACCCATCTGTTTAACTATGCTAAAAAAAAACTTTTTAAAAACCTATAGCATATAAAACTATAAACATTAAAAATTTTAAATACTTAAAACTCAATTACACTAATTTTCCTGTGTGAATCAGATGATTTTTCTGTATCATTTTTATCATACTTTAATAAAATGAAATTGTTTTTGTCTAGCATTATCAAGTTAAGACACTCTTGTCAGATTTCATTATCATGCAGTGGAAATAAAAGGCAAGACAAGTATTTTCTAAAAGCTCCTCAAGCTAGTCAAGGAGACCCAGATCAAAGGCTTATGTAACTTAAAAACAGGATGTTGAGTTCCCAACATTACCTTCGTCTTTTTCTAGTATTTCATCTTCATCTGGGAATTTGACATTCTTCTTTTTCTTCTTTTTATTGCCAAGCATAATATCCAGGTCATCCTCTGGCTCAGCTGGCTCTGGAGCATCACTTTCAATCTTAAGATCCTAAGAAATTAAAGTACGTCTCAATATTTTGATAGTAGATTTTTTGTTGTTGTTTTTTGAGACAGGGTTTCTCTGTGTAGTTTTGGAGCCTATCCTGACACTCGCTCTGGAGACCAGGTTGGCCTCTAACTCACAGAGATCCGCCTGCCTCTGCCTCCCAAGGGCTGGGATTAAAGGCGTGTACCACCAATGCCTGGCTTCCATCCTGTATTTTATTCATACTAAATGTTTAGAATAGGTAAATCTACAGAGGCAGTAGATTAGCAGTAGCTGAGGCTAAGGTTGGGGTAACTGAGAAGAACTAGAAAGTGACAAAGATCATGGGCTTTGTTTTCCAGAGGATGTAAGTCTTCAAATTTATGACAGTTACAGAACTCTGAATCTGCTAAAAATCATTTACTTTAAATGGATGAATTATATGGTAAGTGAATTATACCTTAATAAACTTTCTTGCTTCAAAGTGGTGGTTTCACCACTGCATTTGCAGGTATACTTGTTTTGCCCTCAACCGTTCTCCATCCCTTTAAATTTCTAAATATGACAGTGAATGGAAGCAATTTTCCTGACACCAAATATATAATTATTTTTTTGCACATTTCTCTAACTCTGAAATACAAAGTAGGTATAATACTTATTACTTGGAATAATTAATCAGATACCCTATGTTTAAAACTTGGCTTTATAGTTTAAGGGCTTTCACTTCAGACACTAGTAGTTTCACCTACACTTTTGCTAAGCTATAAATTCAAAGACCTTCAGCCTATATTGAGTAATTTGCTAAAACTCACAGCTCTCAGCAAAGTTTTATTGATATATATATATATATATTGAGGAATAGCCAAATGAAAATAATGCATAGATGAAGCTATGAGGAGTAGGGAGTTGAGAAGGAATCAAGAAAAGCCAAGTATCTAAACACGCTACCCTATCATCACTTCTGTGGGGTTACCAACCTGGAAGTTTTGTCCACATTGTCCATCCACAGAAGTAGCAGGGGCCATTCAAAGTTCCAAACCTTAATAATGGATCTTCCTAGTGTCTAACCATCCCGAGAGACTATACGGACACCAGATTTCTCAAGAGCAAAAGATATGTATTACCTTTGAAGACTGCAAGGTTTTCAGAATTGAACGTGGGGTACCAGAGCTAAAGACCTAATTACTTTTTATTATATTTATCACATCAGCTTAGAACCAAACTATGAAGAAGTTACCGGGCATCAGTTCAATAGATGATATCATGAAAGAGGGAAAGACACAACTCATGGGGAATCAGTGCCATGTGACGAACGGATAGACATGATACAGCCTGACTCCAAGGTTACTTGCTTACTTGCTGTAGGCTTGAATGTGAAAAAGGCACATTAAGTCCTAAGAGATGAATCATAAGCTCCACAAAAGAACAGAGGCTCAGCCTGTTTCTTGGCTTCTAGTTTCTGACCAGCTTATCCTGCTCCCTAACCCAACATGATCACAATTACATTTTTTGTGTGTCTATGTCTTGAATGATTATTTACAATGGCTATAGTAATAATTTCACAGATCTTAGCAGATAAACTCAAATAGACAGGGATAAGTAAAACTCAAACATGATATCTTAAATCTAGCTGTGTAGTTTTAGTGCCATATTAATTAACTACACGATACTGTATAGGAGATCAAACAGTGACCTAGTCTCTGTGATGATGATCAGTAAATACATACATCAGCAAGGCTGTAGTCATTCACACTGTCTAACTAGGATACTTGTAACATCCTTTTAGGGTATAACCCCAGAAGCAGAGAAAAGAGTATCACAGCATTTAACAGAAATAGGAACCCATCAGTAACCTTTTGGGACAAAAGCTACTGGAGGAAATCAACCAACAAAAGTATTAACCAAGATTACAATCATTTAACACCAATTCTAGGAGAGTGGATGCCCTCTTCCAGCCTCTGAAGACACTGCATGAATGTGGTACACTATCACATCAAACACCCATACATACAAATAAAATAATCCCCCCAAAATATTTTTTAAATAGTCTAAATTATCCTTGAAATACACCTCTGGGGGAAAAATAAAACAAACAAAAACCACCAATAAAAAAATCTTACTCATTTCAATGCAAAGTAAGCACACAGACTCAATTTGCTGAATGGATTGTCATCTAAACTACGACCTTGTTTCCAAACAGATTACTGAGTAAATTACTTATTACATGCAGGCAATACTTCACTTACTTGGGTTTGAGCATCTACCAAAGAAAAACTTCAGTACATACAGTAAAACAGAGCCCTTGATATGTGACTGTTTTCTTTTCAATATGAACATATTTTGTGAATACACAGACACATATACACACAAAATTACTATATGCTCATTTTATAAATAAATGTGTGGGCTTTGTTAAAGTGATTTCTGCATAGAGCCTCTGTGTATGTGTGTGTATATACATGTATGTATCAGTATACACTTGTCCATGTTTGTGTGTAGAGAGAGGCCCGAGGTTGACTTTTGGATATTTTCCTCAATTGCTTCCCCATGTTATTTTTTTGACTGTCTGGACTAACAGTCAGTGAGTCCAGGGAACTACCCCTTTCCACTCTGCCCAGGGTCAGGGTTACAGGTGCATGCTGGCAGGCAGGGTTTTATGACGGTCCTGGTGATCCCTCATGGTTGCCCAGTATCTTTAAAATGGTAGCTCTTGAGCAAAGAAGAACCATCTTTCAGCTACTTTGTTTATCCATCTACCCTCCTATTCACCTTCCTACTTAACTACCTACATTTTATTCAAATAATTTTCAGATTTTGTATTGGAAATCAATCTAAGAGGATGACAATCACAGGGAATCAAGTCCTTACAAGATCATATCAGAGCACTCTCCACAGAATTTCCCAGAGAAGCCTAATTTTCTTATTGAATCTCTGCCATCAGCTACCAACTTCTGCACTGGGGGACATTCTTTGCTGGTACTAAAATTTCTCAGTCACAGAGACACCTTTCCTTAGCTCAACAATTTTAACATGGTTAAAAACAATGTGCATTTTCTGAGTCCATTTTAATGACACAATACAATAAGACCTAAATCCCTCTGAACACAGACACGCACGCACGCACGCTTTTTTTCAAAACAGGGCTTCTCTGTGTAGCCCTGGCTGTCCTGGAACTCAATCTGTAGACCAGGCTGGCCTCAAACTCAGAGATCAGCCTGCATCTGCCTCCCAAGTGATGGTGAAGGATTAAAGGCATGTGCCACCACTGCCTGGCTCCTATTATAATCTTTTATACCATGTAGTCAGATACATTCCTAGGAAAATTACCTTAATAGTGGCTAAATGCTAAACAACCAAAGCAAAGCTACTAAGAGATGAGATGAAGGAGGAAACAGCTATTAGCAGCCTTTCTAGAATTCCAATTTTACCTTCAATAAGAAAGCTACACTACCTTTACACCTTCTTCAGCTTCATCAATGTCAAATATCTTTTTTGTTTTTTTCTTCTTTTTCTTTTGATTAAAGAAGTTCAAGTCATCCAAGTCATCAGATGCATCTAAAAATAGATTAAACAGATTTCCAGTTATTAACAATTAGAAAGCAAGGCACCAAATTATGAGTCACACCAACTCTTTTCATGTATTCTTATGGTGTCCTACTGCTACCACCAAAGTTATGGTTCTGAAAACAATGACAAATCAACTCAAAGCTTTCTAGAAAAATTGTTAGGGGCCTTGGCTGAGAACATCAAACTCAATAATCTGACCATGTAATGACAGAAAGTGCTCTCTGGCACAATCTCCAGACTATCCAACTGTATCTCTTTACTTCCCTCTGTTCTCACCCTCCTTCTATCCCTCAATCTCTGGCTCCAGCTCTACCAAAGCAGTGGAGGAACTAAGGCTTCCACAACAACTGTGACTGACACAACTACTCACCCTTTTTCCTACTGTCTTCTTCATCAGCTTCCACATCTTTGTCTTCAGTTGGTTCTGGCTCCACTTCTTTTGTTTCTGAGGGCTGGGTTTCTTCTGTCTGGGCATCACCTTCTTCATCTAACATAAAAGGCTTCTTCTTCTTCTTTTTCTTTTTGCTCATAGTAGGATCAAAAATCATCTGTTTAAATTAAAAAAGACCAAGGGATTATTTTCAATGATGCTCACATTCCAAATATGCTTTATTCTTTTTCTTCTTCCTTTTTTCCCCCCCAAGACAGGGTTTCCTGGTGTAGCTTTGGAGCTTGTTCTAGAACTAGCTCTTGTAGACCAGAGATCTGCCTGCCTCTGCCTCCCAAGTGCTGGGATTAAAGGCATGTGCCACCACCGTCCAGCTATATGCTTTATTCTTAAAAAACTGGATACATTAAAATCCCAAAAGGGGGTGCTGGGAAGATGCCTTAAATTATAAAGCCACTTGCCCCCAACCACTTGCTTGTTTGCACACTTTCTAATTCAATAAAAGACAAATACAGATAAAAGACAAATACAGACAACAAAAATACAAAACAAAATAGATTTACAAAAAGTCCATCTACCCTCTTTTACATTATTAGACATGGGGAGTACCTCACACATGTCTTCTAATTTATAAGTCAGCACAAGCTATAAATAACTTCATTTTTATTTTCATGAGCAAATTTGGACCTGAATGAATCATGAAGTTTAGGGAAAGGACCTTAGCAATAACCTATGTTGCATTTCTGATTGATGGGTGAGATCAACAATGTCTAGGCAGATAATCTAGAGTGACTAAGACCAGGTGACCTGAGTCTTAGTTTTTAAAATTTTTATCTGCTGAGTAGTGTTTGGAGGAGCTGGAGGTAAATACAATCAAGATATATTGTAACATATATGAAATTGTCAGAGAGTCTAGCAGTGGTGGCACACTCCTTTAATCTCATTACTCAAGAGGCAGATCTATGTGAGTTTGAGGGCAGTCTGCAGAGTCTACAGAGTGAGTTACAGAACAGCCAGGACTACACAATGAAACCCTGTCTCAAAAAACAAAAAGGAGGGGATGGAGAGATGGCTCAGTGGTTAAGAGCACTGGCTGCTCCTCCAGAGGTCCTGAGTTCAATTCCCCACAACTACATGGTGGCTCACAACCATCTATAATGAGATCTGGTGCCCTCTTCTGGTGTATATTCATATATGCAGGCAGAGCACTGTGTACATAATAAAGCTTAAAAACAAACAAACAAACAAAAAGGAATCAAAGAGTAAATAAAATATTGAAGTTCACTGCAATTTTAACTTTTAAGAAAACCTAAAAACACCAGGCAGTGGTGGCGCACACCTTTAATCCCAGCACTCTGGAGGCAGAGGCAGGCAGGCGGGTCTCTGTGAGCTCGAGTACAGCCTGATCTACAAGAGCTAGTTCCAGGACAGCCTCCAAAGCCACAGAGAAACCGTATCTTGAAAAACCAAAAGAAAAAAAGAAAAAGAAAACCTAAAAGTAAGAAAAATTTATCAAATTCTAATAACTTTCTACTTGTAAGAAAATTTCCTTTATTGTTTTTGTTATGGAATGTGAAATGTTCACAAGCTATAGAACAAGTGAAAAATTAATTTCTAACCAGTAGATTGTTTGCAATGATCCCTTGAAAGAGTTTGAACATATAGGGCATATTCCTGCTATTGAAGAAAGCAAAGTCTTTAAACAGAACTGAATTTGAATACAATTTTTTTTTTCCCTTCCATGCTTAAACTTAGCAGTTTGTTCATCGTGTAGTGGCCAAAAGCACAGGTCTGGAGCCTCATTACCTTGAGTCCAATCTTGTCTCAAAACAGTAAAACTTTAAAATTTTTGGCTTGAACATTTCTGAATTCCTGACACCATTAGGGAATCTTCCCCTTCTCATCAAGGAACATTCACATTCCTGTGACATTTTAAAGGTAATGCTTTTGCTAGGCTAAAAGGAATCATGTTTTACTGAGTTTGGGGCTTAATTTCCCTGTGTTTTTTTTTAATGTGTTTACTTTATATCAAGAAATCATTTAAAGAAAAGCTACTTTTTAAAATAGACTCTTATTCTCTATCCTGCCTACCAGTCAGAATAATCCATTCTAATGAGATTTATAAGTCACTTCCAAGTACAGATTTTCAGTTAATCCTTAAGTTGGCAGTCATAAGGGGTTTGCCTGTGACACTTCTCTAGTCAAAGCACTAGGTAAACCAGAATCACATCCCATGTTCATCCCCCCTCTCTATCAGTAAATTCCACCTGAGAATAAAGCCAAAGGAAAGGGTTCTGGTACCCTTCAATTTACTGCATGGCCTAACCTCCTTGGGCCCTAATTTTTAATTTATAAGTCTAAGGATCAAGCTACATACTTTAGATTTTTCAAGAGACTGCTGCTGGTATGAAAGCTGTTTCCACCATCTCTGCTTGATCAAATCATGTTCATTCTCTAGAAATGAATTCTTACCCCACACCTTTCAAAAGATCTCATTATACCAAAAAAATGACCTCTCAACCCCCCCTTCATCACTACAGGTGTTAGCTATTACCTCTTCCTACATACACCACAAGCACTTTGCCATAGATCGAATACAGCAGTTTACAGGCAGTTATTTTTAAGTTATTAAGTTTGGAACATGAGTAGAAAGAAAACAAGGGTGAAACACTTCCTCTCAGAACTTTTCTAATGCATACATAATACAGCAGCTAAGAGCAATGTCTACTATCTCTTTCAAGCAAGAATCATCTATCATCTCCTTCAGACTGAACTACTTAGTAAGCTTGTGAGAGCCTCCTGGTCCATTTACATGGAGGCAGTATCGCACAGATCTGGGATTGTACTACTGGCTCAGCCACTTGGAATTTGATTATAGGCATCGTACAACTCTAGTTTTCTCATTTCTAAAATGGACCTTATTTAAAGGAACTGTAAAAATCAATAAAAAATAGGATTTCGTTTCCTCCAGAATCAATCTCAAATTCCTCAATGCAGTTTTCTAAGCCCTCCATGAACTAGCCTGTGTCTGTTTCAACCAACCTGGTGAATACTTCACTTTCTTTAAGTACTTTTTCCTTTCTTGACCATAAATGCCTTGTAATCCATTTTCTCACTGGTTGAGAAAATCCTGATCCTCTCTAGAGTCTACTCAAAAGCCAACTCTGTAGCGAGCCCCCAACTGTTCCTCTTGCCCCTCCAACTGTAACCCCTTTTTAAGTCGTTTAATTTTATGTGAACTAGGATAAATCTTGGAGGGCAAAAAGTTAAAACAGGAAAGGGGGCTTGATTCAAGCCCGGTGGAGAAAAACCCAGTCAGCTTCGAAGCCGGACTTCCCTGCTCGCTTCGCGTGTTAAAGGAAACTTAGGGACTCGCGCCCGGAAACTTTCCTGGAAGGGTGGTCACCTTTTAAGACTAAAATATCTTTTCCTCTGGCCCTCACACCGTGTCTAAGAATTAAAGTCTCGAGCGAGGAAAGGGAACGAGATTCGCCCGGAAAGGCCAGCCGACAAAGTTTTTAACCACGGTACTCCACCGGAACCAAGGGAAGCTTCTCAGGGCACCTGAGCACTGGGCAATGAGAGCTGCGGCGGCAGTGTCTGAAAAGATGCCGGGGCCGCCGGCCCTAACTGGGTTTAATCGTGGAAACTAACTCGGAATCCAAACCCTTTCAGAGAGGGCGACTCAACGTGCTTCCCATTCCGAAACGCCGATCACCGTAGGAGGCCGGCCTCGACGCTCTCGCCCTGAGGAGAGCTGGGTGCGGCCAAGGCCGAGGATCCGGAGTCCTCGTCGGCTCCACAGCTCCGGGCCGCTTAGGCCCGGCTGCTCCTCCACATGGCGGCCGCCCACCGCTAGGCCGCAGGCCCGGCTTCCCACACCGGTGTGGGTTCGGCTTCCTGCCTCAGTCCTCAGCTCTAGCTCGGTGCTCAGGCTCTCACCTCGTCCCCGGACATGGCTGCGGTTCTAGTGGGTTCGGCAAGGGTGGGACGTCAGACCGGTCAGCTTCAGACCCCGGACTCGGCGAAGCTCCTACCGACAGCTCTCCCAGGCCCGCGCTAGGCTCTTGCATCAGCGAAAGGGAACGACACCCCGCCCTCCTCCCAAACGTTGTAAGTGCGCCTGCGCAGAACTCGCCAACGCGCAGGCGTGCGGCAGAGAGAACCTCGCGTGTTGCTTGTGGCGCGAGTTACCAGGCGACATCCCGGCGCCGGGCATGCTGGGACTTGTAGTTTGCCTAGAAGAAAAGGGCGCTTGAGCTACAGCAGTTTCCGAGGCCGTGAGCGACTGTTTTAGCGCCAGTCAGGAGGTGCGGGTTCTTGTGCCGCTGGTTACCTCAGCGGTTCGGGAAGCGCTGAATTGCTTGTAGAGTGGATTTGGGGCCATTCTTCCGGAGTTAGGTTAGTGAGACTCTGTAATGTGAACCCGTGGGACTTATTGCCCACATGCCCCTGGGGTGTTCTGGCATTCGAGGAATTCTAAGGGAGCTGGAGGCATGCACCTCATTAAAGGCGTTTTTACGTCGTGAGCAGTTTTATGTTGCTGGCTTTTTACTTCAGAAGTATCTTCCCTGGTTCCCCTGAAGTAAACCGAGAAACAGCCCTGTCAGTCTGCCAGGAAGCTTCGAAATACGTCATAACTCGCTTAAGGAAGGGATATGTTGAGAAATGTGTAGAGTAGGTAATTAACTTGTTGATGAACCTCACACCACACAAGGAAAAACACTACAATGTCCTGGTAGATATAATCTGGGACCGTGGTTTTATGTTCTTTTTGGCAAAAGCTTCTTGGTTTTGTTTTTTGGTTTTTTGTTGTTGTTGTTGTTTTTCGAGACAGGGTTTCTCTGTGTAGTTTTGGAGCCTATCCTGGCACTCGCTCTGGAGACCAGGCTGGCTTCGAACTCACAGAGATCCGCCTGCCTCTGCCTCCCGAGTTCTGGGATTAAAGGTGTGTGCCACCAACGCCCGGCCAAAAGCTTCTTTACATGCATGACTACTTGTTTATGAAGTCTTTGCTAGACAATTCTGGATGCATCACCCAATTTCCCTGGGGAGATACAGCTGCCACTTAGAGAGGTCTCATTATCTCCAGTGCCATCCAGTCAAAGATCATGGAGGGCCAGGCAATGGTGGCGTATGCCTTTAATCCCAGCACTCAGGAGGCAGAGGCAGGCGGATCTCTGAGTTCAAGGCCTGCCTGGTCTACATCTCAAGTTCGAGGCCAAACAGAACTGTTACACAGAGGAAACCCTGTCTCAAAAACCAAAGATCACAGAGACTACCCTTGTAGTTAGACAAATCAGGCTTGTGATCACAAGAAACACCAAAGCATCACTGTCTGAAAGAATGCAGTCTGGACTTCTCAGGTGATTGAGGGGATTTAAGCAAGCAGATGCTATCAAGAGGTGGGAGTAATTGTTGGGGTTTTAATGCTTCTGCATAAGAGTCAAGAGAGGATTGGTGAAAACCCCTCATAGTACACGGGGAATATTTAGTTATTTTTGTGGTTGGCCCTAATATTCTTGGTTTTATTTCTGTATTCATACATGATTACAGGGTTTGTTCGTCTCTCTCTCTTTTTTAGAGATTTATTTATGTATACAGTATTCTGCCTGCATGTATGTCTTCAGGCCAGAAGAGGGCACCAGATCTCATTATAGATGGTTGTGAGCTACCATGTGGTTGCTGGGAATTGAACTCAGGACCTCAGGAAAAGCAGCCAGTGCTCTTAAGCACTGAACCACCTCTCCAGCCCTTGTCTTTTTTTTTTTTTTTTTTAATCTACTGAAATCATAGAGTGGTCTGTCTAAGTTTGGCATGGTAGCACTTACCGTCGTCGCACTTGGGAGATAAAGGCAGGAATGACTCTGCATGACCAGCAGAGAGAGAGAGACAGACAGACAGACAGAGACAGAAACAGAGACAGAGAGAGACAGAAGAAAAAGAGAAGAATAAGAAAAAGATCTTCTTAGTGTCTTTTACAAATCACTTTGCTATGCACTAAACTTATCCTAAAAATAAACTGAATTGAAACAGTGTTCTATGAAATTATTTAATTCAGCACACCCTAGATGATAATATCAGCATTCCCCCCCCCCACTATCCAAGGCTATTCTCTTTTTCGTTATGATCCATAATGCTTTGGGCTTTAAAATAACTGAAATAACCCACAAATATTTAGTGCCCCCTAAGCATAGCATGTCCTTGCCTCAGAAGAGCTATAATTTAGTGAGAGAGATATTTTATTAGTTTCCTTTTTTGGATGAAGAAACTGCTTGGATAGCATAGGAAAAATTATCCACACTTATATATACAGACAACAAAAAAGAGAACCCAGGACAATTTGATACTGGTGGCTGCTCATTTACCTTGAGGATTTGAGTTGCTGCTGCCATAGCATAGTCTTCTTTAGCTACCAGCATCTATGTGTGCCAGGATTTCTTACCAGCAACACTATTAGCACTTTGGACCAGACAACTCTGTTATAGGTTGATGTTCTCCTCACTGAGGACATTCAGTGCCTGGTCTATATTCATAGATCCTAGTAGCACACTCCTTCCAGTCATGGCATTGCCAAATGCCAAATGCCACCTCCTGGGAGGTGGGGTAAACATCACCCCTGATTGAGAGCTACTCACATCTTGTCTCTTCCTGGGTTGTTGAGCTAGAACAAGTATTCTTGGCTAGTCCTCAACAGAGTTGGGAGGCCATGAAGAAGAGAGAAGCAAACTGGACTAAGTTTCTGAAAAGCCTGTTCATTCAATGATAAAAACTGAAAGGGGAAACGAAAGGAAAGATGATAGAAATGGAGAAAGGTAATTTACAGGAAGTCACCCTTTCATGATTTAGTTCATGAAAGTTAGTTGATCCTAAAAAATATACTAAGGTGGTTGTGCTATCCAGTTTAAGGTCAACTTGACCCAAGCTAGAATCATCTGAGAGGAAGGAACCCAACTGAGTAAATACTCCTAAGATTAGGCTGCTAGGCAAGCCTGCAGAGATTTTCTTAATTAGTGATTGTTGTGGGAGGGCCCAAACCATTGTGGGTGTCACCCTTGGGCTGGTGGTCCTGGGTTCTATAAGAAAGCAGATTGAGGGCTGGAGAGATGGCTCAGAGGTTAAGAGCACTGACTGCTCTTCCAGAGGTCCTGAGTTCAATTCCCAGCAACCACATGGTGGCTCACAACCATCTGTTATGAGATCTGGTGCCCTCTTCTGGTGTGCAGATATACATGGAAGCAGAATGTTGTATACATAATAAATAAAATCTTAAAAAAAAAAAAAAAGAAAGAAAGCAGATTGAGCAAGCCCACATAGAGCAAAGCAGTAAGCAGCACTCCCCTACGGCCTCTGCATCAGCTCCTACCTCAAGGTTCCCAGCCTGTTTGAGTTCCCATCCTGACTTCCTCAGTGATGAACTATGATGTGGAGGTGTAAAACAAATAAGCCCATTTCTCCCCTAGTGGCTTTGGTCATGTTTTTTCATCATAGCAACCATAGTACTAAGTATGGCAGCAGTCTTCATCAGGCCTTCTTGTCCCTCCACTCCCTATTTGGGAGATATTGGTATACATAGCAAATAGTCAAATCACTTTGTGAAAAAGATTTTCTTTTCAGCATGATACCCAGTGTAACTATCCTCACATGTCCACTTGAAGGAAATCTTGCTTCAGAGATTTCATCTTTCTTCCAAGGAGTTTGCTTTCCAAGAAAAGCCAGGATCCCCTGGTGAACTAGCCAAAGTCACCAAGCAATGATACCTAAGCTTTTCCAGTTTTCTAAGAGATAGAACCCATTTGGCATCAACACAAATAATCATTGTAATTTTATAGCTTGTTTTATTTAGCAATCACTATAAAACGTATAAAACACAGCCGGGCATTGGTGGTGCACACCTTTAATCCCAGCACTCGGGATGCAGAGGCAGGCAGATCTCTGTGAGTTCGAGGCCAGCCTGGTCTCCAGAGCGAGTGCCAGGATGGGGTCCAAAACTACACAGAGAAACCCTGTCTCGGAAAAAAAAAAAAAAAAAAAACAACATATAAAACACTTGGTAATTTTCAATTCATACCTATGAGGGAAATCACTATAGATTTTCTACTTTCTAAATAGAGAAGCCAAATTATGGACTCTACAAAAGTAGTGAGAAGTCTTGAAGTAGTCTACTGGGCTCTTTACTCTGGACCACTCTTTATGCCTAGTGTCAACCCAGTTCTTCAGCTACTGAATGGTAAGTTAATGGTGATATTTAATCAACCCTATACTAAAGTATGTTTTTAATGCCCTTGGAACAGTCCTTATATTATTCCAGATCTTGGGGTACCCCCCAAACCACCATGGAGTCTGTACTCATATGCAAAAGCAAAGAGCCTTTGTTCAAGCTCAAGGTTGGACTCTCTGTCTGTCCAATGTCGTGGTTGAGAGCAGAAAGTGCCCAGCCCAGGCTGGGTAAGGTGTTTATGATAGTAGAAGTTGAGGGTGAGGTGATTGGGTTCAAGGCCCTGATTGGCTGACAATTGTCTAGGGGTGTCTTGGTGAAAGGGGAATAGGTGTGTGCTGGGCTTGAGAACATTTGGTGATCTTATCTAATGGTTGGGATGTTTGGATGCTGACCCTCTCTTGATGGTGTCAGCTTATGCCTTTTCCTGGAACCTGGTGCTGCCTGCCAGTAAACTGAAACTCATGCCTACTTTTCAGCTCACTTTTATTAAGCATGCCATGACAGCAATGTGCCCAAGCTCATTGGGCTGTTCTGGGCTCCACACTTATTCTCTTGAGTTGACCGGTGTAGTATAGCTATTTTCTCCAACCTGAAACATGCCCTTGTAGATGAGTGAGTGCAAGAAGCTCATAGGACTTGAGGAGTTCAGGAAAAATACAAGTCTCTGATAGCACTACAAGGTACAAAGCCCCTCCCACAAAGTTATAAAAGCAAGGAATCATTTCTGGGGAGAGGAAACTTACTGTGACTCCAAGCTCTTCAGGGAGCTCCAAGGATATAGCTTTTGTGAGTGCACACCCATGTTTTGGTAGTCTTTTCAGTGACACAGCTGCCTATGAGTCAACTACATTCTTGTAAGGAACGTCAATCAACTTATTGGTTCAACAAACCAATAAGTGTGTGATCATTTCTTTGTTCTGTCATTGGAGCCCATTTGGATTGAATAGACATTGTTCATGTCTCTCCAGGAAAAGTTACCCAACACACTCACAAAAATAGCAGGTCTGTAGAGACTATGACTTCAAATTGTGACAGTATTTGAATTAGAACCAAGATCTTGGGAAGCTTGCTGGGTGTGGTGGTTTGAATAAGAATGATCCCTAGCAGGGTAGTGGTGGTACAGCCTTTACTCCCAGCAGGGTGGTGGTGGTGCAGCCTTTACTCACAGCAGGGTGGTGGTGTAAGCCTTTACTCACAGCACTTGGGAGTAAGTAGATCACTGAGGGTGATCTGGCCTACAGAGTGAGTTCTAGGACAACCAGGGCTACAGGGAAACCTTGTCTCAAAAAAGCAAACAAAACAACGAAAAAGAATGCCCCCCCCATAGGCTAATAATAGTCATTAGGGAGTGGAATTGTTTGGAAGGATTATAAGGATTAGGAGATGGTGGCTTTTGTGGAGTAGGGTAGCCTTTGGAGGAAATGTATCACTGGGGATGGGTTTGAGGTTTCAAAAGTCCATGCCAGGCCCAGTCTCTCTCTCCCTCTCTCTCTCTCTCTCTCTCTCTCTCTCTCTCTCTCTGTGTGTGTGTGTGTGTGTGTGTGTGTGTATGTCTGACTCTATGTCTCTCTGTCTTTTTCTGTCTGTCTCTCTCTTTGTCTCTCTCTCTGCCTATGGATTAGTCTGTAACTCTCAGCTACTGTTCGAGCACCTTCCTGCATGCCACCATGCTCCCCACCATGATGATAATGGACTAAACCTTTGAAATTGTAAACAAGCCCCTAATTAAATGCTCTCTCTTATAATAGTTGTCTTGGTCATGGTGTCTCCTGATAACAACAGAACAGTGACTAAGTCATTGGGCAAACTAATCACCTGAGTTCAAGCCTGGAACTGACTCCTAAGACTAGTCCTCTGACAAAAAGTGCACTATGGCACATGGGTGACCCCCCACAATAATAGTAAATAATAATAAATTAATTTAAAACATGGTTTTTAGTCTATCTTTTGCTTAGTAAGTAAAAAGGTTTTTGGTTTTGGTTTTGGTTTTTTGGTTGTTGTTTGTTTTTTTTTTTCTCTGAGACAGGGTTTCTCTGTGGCTTTGGAGGCTGTCCTGGAACTAGCTCTTGTAGACCAGGCTGGTCTCAAACTCACAGAGATCCACCTGCCTCTGCCTCCCGAGTGCTGGGACTAAAGGCATGCGTCACCAATGCCCAGCAGTAAGTAAAAAGTTAAATATCACCCACACATCTTAGAAATAATGGCAAACATAAGGTAGTGATTCTACCCCACATAGAAATCTAGGCCTATTTACCTCATTTTCATTGTGAATACTGCATTGTATGGGGACTTTAAAAGTTAGTGTTGGTGAGAAAAGAGGAAAGTCACTGAAACATGAATGGAAAACATCTTGTAACTACAAGATTAAATTAATCTTTGGGTTGATCTTGACAGAAGAAAAAGTGAGGCTCCTCACAAGAAGCCTTGGATAAGGTTATTTTATTTTTATTATCTATCTATCTATCTATCTATCTATCTATCTATCTATCTATCTATCTATCATCTATCCATTCATTCATTCTGGTGTTTTGAGACAGGCTTTCTCTATGTAGCCCTGGATGACCTATAACTGTTCTGTAGACCAGGCTGGCTTTGAACTTGGGGATTCACCTGCCTCTGCTTCTGGAGTGCTGGAATTAAACCATGTACCACCATGCCTGGCATGAATGGGATTACCCTGAGAGAAACACATGAATAGGAATTAATTCTTGTTGCTTACTTTGGCTTGTTTGTTTATTGATACAGGGTTTTACTATGTTTCCTAAAATAGCCTCAAACCCATGATCCTTCAGCTTTTACCTTGAATTATTTTTAAACATGTTTACATTTATTCACTTACTGTGTGTGGGGGTGTGAGTACATGCCATACATATGTGCATAGAGGTCAAAGGAAACTTATTTCCAAGGAGGGGATAAAAATCCATTCTTCTATTACTCTATCGCAGCCCTTATCTTATGATGGTGTACCTATCTTTGAGGTCTTGGAGGACAGGATCTGTGTACTACTCATTTTCCTTTGTTTTCCCATAGACAGCACATATATGTGAATGAAAAACTCTAATGAGGTGATAGATATGAGGACTCATAACTAAATCACCAGGACTCTTAGATTCTTGAACACAGACTAATTTCTAAGACGCAGTGGGGAGCTTCCAGCTGCGTTCTATTTGGAATAATTGAGTGTGAATGTAGTCAAGAAGAAAGTGTGTTTTACATCCTCCCTTCATGACTCATTGGAAAAGGGACTGATAACATTCGTAACAGACCAGTGGGCTCTGGAAGGAGTGGTTCAGTTTACCTTGTACACACTCGGCACCTTAGATTGTCACTGTTCATAGCTCACATAGCTCCCTTGCTTTTGATTGGCAACCCCCAGACTCTACACACTGCCCAGTATGTATTAGGAATTCAGTGAGTGGAACTGAAAGAATGTTCAAATTAATAAGTGGAATAAAGAATTTCACTTTCTCTTATCTTAGGTCATTTAAGCCTACCCTCTCAAAATGATTTTAGGCACTAGTTCCTTTTATAGCTCTTTCCTTATCAACCCAGCCTACCACAATTTCACCCTTTTCTGTTATGATTTAATATTCATCAATATTATTGGATAGGCATTTTAATTCTTTTTGCAATTTTTTTTAAAGAGGCTCTGTCTGTGTAGCTCTGGCTGGCCTAGAACCCACTATGTAGAGTGGGCTGGCCTTGAACTCATGGATAATCCTCCCAAGTACTGGAATTATAGGCATGTACCACAATGCCTAACCAATGCATTATTATTTTAGACTCATCTGTCTCTTCTTTCCAACAAGGTTATAAAATTCTCTTATTTTCTTCTTTAGTTTTTTGAGGTAGAGTTTCATGTGTCAAAAGTATGCCCCCTGAAGTGTCTTAAATCTAGTAGGATTGCAATGTTATAAATAGTTGGTAGTATCCAGGGCTACTTAAAGTTTTGCTATCTTAGCAGATGATTTTTTTGTTTGTTTGTTTGTTTGTTTGTTTTTGAAACAGGGTTCCTCTGTGTAGCTTTGGAGCCTGTCCTGGAACTCACTCTGTAGACCAGGCTGGCCTCGGACTCACAGAGATCCACCTGCCTCTGCCTCCTGAATGCTGGGATTAAAGATATGTGCCACCCCCCCCACCCCACCCTCTTCCATCTTAGCAGATGATTTGGGTTTTTTGGGGGGGGAGTTCGAGACAGGGTTTCTCTGTGGCTTTGGAGGCTGTCCTGGAACTAGCTCTTGTATACCAGTCTAGTCTCGAACTCACAGAGATCTATCTGCCTGCCTCTACTTCCCAAGTGCTGGGATTAAAGGCATGTGCCACCACCGCCCAGCCAGCAGATGATTTTTTAATAAAACACAATAAGATTCTCCCTTATAGTCATTAGAATGGTCACTATGAAAATGAAACTGAAAGACTCACACACCAAAAAATGACAAGTGCTAGCGATAATATGGAGAAACTGGAAGCCTTGTACACTGTTGATAGGAAGGCAAAATGCCGAGTCTACTATGGAAAACAGTAAGGCTATTCCTCAAAAAAAAAAAATTAAATAGAAGTACCACAGGGTTCAGCAATTCTGCTTGTTTATATGTATCCAAGAGAACCAAAAGCAGAGTCTACACCCATGTTCATAGCAACACTATTTACAATAGTCAAAAGAATGAAACAGACATTCCATCACCAGACAAATAGACAAGCAACAATGTGGTGTATGCTTATAGTGGAATATCACTGAGCTTTCAAAAGGAAGGAAATTGTGCTGTATGTGACAACATGGATAACCTTGAGGACAGTCTGCTAAAGGACACAAGCCAGTTATAAAAAGACAAATACTGGGGTGCTGGAGAGATGGCTCAGCAGTTCAAAGCATAGACTGCCCTTGCAGAGGACCTGAGTTCGTTTCCCAGCCCCCATGTCAGGTGGCTCAGGACTATAGATAACTCCAGCTCCATGGCATCTGGTGCTCTGTTCTGGACACACACACACACACACACACACACACACAC